GATTTAAAGAGATTCCATTTTCCATATTTCCATTAGATTGAGCACCTACTTGGTACATCCTATTCGCATACCCCATCCCAGTTTGTATTACTATATATATATATATGTATAGGTAGTGGCATATTCCACATGTTGTATCTACGCACTCCTCTGGTTGCTGTGCTATGTAGTTCACTGTACGCATGTCTCTGCGCTATTGTTTATATTGTTTTAATTAATTTCGTTTTGAGACTTGCTGAAAGAAACACGCACCGCAGCCTCTACACGCGCTCCGCTCCCCCCCCGCCCACTTCATCCCAGTGCCACAAGTTCTGCTCACGTATGCAGAAATTATATATATATAGCTGTCGGCTTGAAGCTCTTTGAGCCATGGCAAAAATTTTGGAGTGTCGAGCGTTGAGCTTCGACCGCAAGCCAAGTTGTGTGCTCTGTTAAGTGGAGAGCGCTTACCCCCCGCGCAGCCCACTGACAACTCCGGGACAACAGACAACAGGCCTTTAGAAATGCCTGGCTCAGCTCTTGCCACTATGTTTGTGCAATGAAGCGTTGGGCTTTTATAACGCCAACAGTCAGTTAAGGCGTGCCACGGCACGGGCCGAGTCATTGAGAAGCTCTAAAAAGCAGCAGCAAGGAAATTCTTAATTTACGAAATACGAAAAAAAAAAGAAATGGAAATCCAAGTCGAATAAAATAAAAAAAATAAATAAAAAACAGAAATGGAAAAACCTCGACGTAATAAATGAAACGTGAAGGCAAAAAAATACTGAAACTTAACAACTCGTCGAGGAAGACGGCGACGCCGGCGGCTGCACTGGACAATCTCTGAGCTCTGAAGCGCTACGGCGGGGATATTCTTCTTCTTCATCATCTTGCTCTGGGTTTTTTTATTTATTTTTTTGTTAGATTTCGGACAGACACTTTGGTGCGGCTGCAATCGGGGCACTGAAAGCTTTACGCTCCACTTGGCTGCTGCTTTGATTCTCACGGTTTTCATTTGAATGCGCCTGCTCCCCAGCCCCCTGCCGCCTGCCCACCTTCCCAGCCTGCTGCTGGCTCACCTGTATCTTTGAGATACTTAGATACGTATATATTTTAATGTGCGCTTTATCAACAGCTTTAGATAGCTGCGTAGAAACGAGCGCCCAGCTCCCAGCCATTTGTTAGACTTGACTGCATCAGCTCCTGCTGATGATGTGGGCGTGCCACGTTGACTGAGCAGGTGGGCCGGTGGGCCGGTGGGCCAGTGGGCCGGCCAGCTTGTTGATGGTTTCGTGCTGTGCTTTTGTTGCCTCAAGCAAAAGATTTTAAGTGATTTCTCTTTGACTTTTTACGTGTAGCTGCTGGCCAACAACAAAATTTATCTGGATCTCACGCTCAGCCTTCATGCCATGGCTCTCGTCATAATTATTATAATTTGATAGACACTATGGAACAACAAGTTGTATACATACATATATATAAATCAATATATTTCTATATACATACATACATATATATTTACACCTTTTGCTGCTTTGCGCTGTCTAATTAAAAACTTTTGGCCCGCTAATCCAACATGTGAGACAAGACTCACACCACGGCTGGCCCTGGCTGCCTCTGGCTCTGGCTCTGTCAAAGCTGTCACAAAAATGACATTTTGCTGGCTAATTACAAATTCAAATTAAATCACAAGTAATTAGCTGAAAGTCAAAGTCAACGTTTGGCTTTTTCTGGAATTTTTTGAAGGCATTTTATGATTTGCAAACGCTATGAAATGCGCCTCTAATGGCTGCTTTGTTTTTGTTTGTTTGCCTGGACTTTTCGAATGAAAAGGGAGGGGCGGGCCGATGCCACTCACGCCCACATTCAGGCAAAATGAAAGACATTAAAAACGACAACAGACAGCTCGAAATGCTGGCTAAAGGTAACCAAATGACAGAGCGGGCGACACATTAAAATACATTTTTAATGCTGATGTCTTTTGCGAGTGTATGAGTGTATGTGTGTGTGTGTGTGTGTGTGTGCGTGTGCGCACTCTGCCACGCCCATAGCCCCCACTGGCATGGCACATTTGAGCCGTGCTTATGTAACTGTGGCATGGACATGTGTCTGGCGCCCGCCCTTGGCTTAGAATCGTAATCAAAATAATTACTTTTATTGTGATTCCCCTGAATGTTAATCAACGCAACTGACAATTGCGAGCCACAGCCAAAGCACATTCACCTCTCTCCCTCTCTCTCTCTCTCTCTCTCTCTTTTTTTATCCACAATTTCTCATTTAATTTACATTTGAAATATTATAATGGCTTTCGTTTTAATGGATTTTAATTTCCAGCTCCAGCAAATCAAGTGCCATGTGAAAGGAATTAAATATACTTTTTCTTTTTTCTGCATAATTCGAATTATTTTATGGCAGTCTTAAAGCAATGGGCAATATGTGAGCGAAGTGTATAATGAATGCAGATGAGCTGTGTGAGTAACCAGATATTCAATTAGTTGAAATAACTTAAAACTCAATGTCTATTTTGATTGAGCCTTAGTACATATAAAATATATTCGTTTAATAAACATGAATATTTAATTTATTACTGATTCGTTTTTAGTAAAGCTGAAATGAAAAGTCTATAACAATTAAAGAGCTCTGACTTAGGCAGATTAAGGGCTTGGCTAGAGAGTTTAGCCGTATAATATTCGGCCAATTCTGAAGTTTTAACTTTACCAAATACACTTTCACCCAATTTCTCTCGCCCCCAAAAGGTGTAGATGCTACTTTTTTATACACACAATTTTCATGGGAAATAAATGTACAATAGTTTAATTATCTTATTGATTATGTAACATATATTATTTTATTTTCTCATATTTTTCAATAAATATATTAGTAACGAAATTCCATTATCTATTATCAAAAGTTCCCGAGTTTAGAAATTTGAAATCAACACGCATGCTAATTAAACACAATTAATAAATAAAAATTTTAAATAATTAACAAAGACGATCATTGCATAAAGCCAATATACTTTTTGTGCCTCTTCAGCGAATATAAAAATATTTGATGAAGTAAATAACTAGAGCTGAAATATAATTATACTAAATGAAACTTGATTGTAATTGGAATCGAAGAAATATAATTAAGAATACAAATAACACTGGAATTTTACAATTATTTTTTCAAGAAAGAAAATTTAAATTTCTAGAAATATAAATGATAAATAAATAAATAAAGATATCACGCAACTAGGCTCAGGTCAGTTAATGCCTCATACCCTAATACCAAAACCAACAACATATGCTAATTATTTTTGTCAAGCTCTGGCATTTAGATTAGGCTTAACTAATCAGTCAACTAGTTAATCCCCATTTGTCTTGCGCAATCAAACAATTATGTGGACCATTTAAATGTTATTATCTATATTGATATAAAATATTGAGTGTGCATTGAAAGCGCACAGCCCAATAATCCATAATTACAATTATCAAATATGTCGCACTATTATTGCCCATTTATGAGCCAACAATTAGATATTAATGTTTATTTAATACGACATACCTGTGACACTCTCGATTCATATACATAATTGGCTCATAACTGTATGCTCGATGCCAGTTGCGGCGCCCATTGAGGCGTTTTACAACACTGCACTGAAAATATAGAATCAAATGTCAATGAAAATCTTAAATTGTGGGATTACTATAAATAAATTAGAAAAATATTAATATATATATATACAAACTATATGTTTTTTTAAGAAAAGTATTAAATAATATTTTATGGTGTCTAAATAAACTAACTAAATACCAGAAAATATACTTAAAATTATATACTATATTCTGCCTTCTATTAAAAATGAACAAAATCATGATAGACATTAACTGTGGGTTTAGGAGAATCAAAATATTAAATAACAATTATAAATAATTTATAGATGGTACATATTATACAATACTTTATGGAGTCGTTTTCCATTTTCATTTTCAGCTACGTTCTCATTTTCATGTCATTTCTGTAAAACACAAAAGTTTAACCCAGATTCAGATCTTAGTAACCGAAATTCATTGTCGATCGCACAGACTACGTCAATTGCCAGCGTTACACAAATTCCGTAGATCTAAAGGCTAATAATAAATAAATCAATTCGAGCATCATGAATCTGGTGTGGGGTCACAAGGGACCGTACTTTCATGCGCCATGCCAGCGGGATCGCTTCCCGAGTCTGCTGGACGAGATGGGCGATGATGGGGACAAGCTGGTTGCCCACTTGGGCATCTCGAATATGGCGGACATGGGCGCCCGTTTGAAGAGGGGTCGCAAGCCGACAGCCGTTGCCGAGCAACGTGCCGCCGATTGCGTTAAGGAGCAGTGTGTGCCGCTGCACAAGATGTTCTGCACCTCGGCGCAGGGGCTGCGACGAGGCGTCGATAAGTACGCCCAGATACCCAAGTACGATCCCTATGTGGATGAGGAGGATCAGCGTGAGCTGGCCCAGCGCTATCGCAAGCTATTGAATCGCCCAAGCCCCACACCTGCCGAGCGCCAGGTGGGCGAACCGCCGTACACCGGCCTCTGCCCGCACTGCCGCCGCCGGGGCAGCAACGATGTGGCCAACGACTTTCAGGGCCGACTCTACCTGCAGCAGGCCTATCTGCTGGGCCAAATCAATCTCATGTGCGTTCACCCCGCTCATCTACAAATGGACTAAAGTCCTTCTTAACCATCTGAATCTTTTCAGGGTCTTGGACGGACAGCAACCGCCGCAGTTGCAGCAGAACAACGAGGGCTTCCATAATATCCAGTACAATCGCTATCATGGCTAACGTCCTATATTATATTATTTGTGCATTAAAGTTCAACATCTGCTTTCAATTATGATGAGCATGCAACATTTATGTAGCACAGCGAGTCGTCGGAGTTGTGGGTTGAGGGTTGGGGGTTGGGGTGAGCTCTGCGTGTCTCACAAATCAACGCCAGCATTAATTTTCATGTAGTTCGTGTAATCACAGGCGCCGCAGCTGCTGCACAAATTGCAGCCTTTAATTGCTATAAAACTCTGTGGCATTTAACAGATGTCAACAGCACACAGCAAAAGAGATGAAGTATCTGAATACGAATAAAAAAAAAAAAAAACTGAAAATACAAACACTGCGATATGGAATGCTAAAAATGAGGAAGACAAAAGCAAGACACAGATATAATGAGCGACTGCGAGTTATCCTACAAACTGCAGTATCAGTAATTTACATGCGATTCGCGAAGGTATTAAAAGCTGGAAGGTCATGTATGTGTGTGTTAGTTTCTTTAATATATAAATAGCAATACTTATAAATGTACAGCTACATCACAAACACACACACGCATTTCAATGAAGACAATTTAGATTTGAAATATTATGAATATATAGATTATGACTCACATTATGCTATACGTTCATACAATACCTATCAACTATTTTCATATTCAACGATTTTTTCCAGTGCGTTGTTCCCGCATTCCTATGGCAAGGAAATTATCTCTGCGCCCAGCGACTCGTTTGCAAACAAGTAAACAAAAGAATGAAAAACATATGTATGTATGTATACAAATCGATTCGCTCAAAAGCATCCGTTTAACATAGTCGAAACACAAAAGCTTAATTACCGAATTACGCTCTCACTCTCTCTAAGTTCACATGGCCACTGTAATAGTTAAATTTGCACTCAATACGAATAGTTCCCACGGTCTCATTGTCTACACAACTCGCAGCAGAACACTGCTAAGCACTCAGCAAGCTATCCCTTTCGCAAAGCTTACAGCAGTGATCAGACGCTCTTTCAAATGTTCGCTCTCTTAACATTCGGCAACCGCATTGGCAGAGAGCTCTTTTATGTATGCTCAGCGCCGACTTGTGGATCTCGTATGCCTGTTCATGGCGTGACTATTAGAAAAGTGCTTGTGCTTGTGGATTACATGTGTGGTCGCTCTCGTGAACTTGTCTGCTGCATATGTATGTGTGTATATGTACCTGTGAATTGCTATTAAGCCGGCCGCTCAATTTAAGTTCCAATTTGAGGCCTACTTGAGAAATTCATGTGTGGTCGCTCTTAAAAGCTTCCAGGCTGCAGTTGACACACGCACGCACCACTACATGTGTGCGTCTGTGGATCGCCAATTGGTAAAGCGCTCAACTCTGTTACGGGGCAGGCTACGCCTTTTGTCTTCTGCGCGCCCTTTTGTGGATTGTATGTTGTGTTATGTATGTGTGTGTGTGTCAGCATGAGTGTAATGCTAATTAAGAGAAGTACTCAATTTGGCTTCCACTAAAGCGCTGCGCTTATCTCATTGAATGATCCAGGCTAAGTTCTCTGTGGATTCACACTGAGCGAAAAATATGCAAATATGAATATGTGTACTGATATTCAGTATACAGAACATTCTTTTATCATTCAAAACATGATACATATACTACATGTATATTTATATTTCATGATTTATATGAATTTGGAACATTCTTTTGATTACCAAACAAAATTATATAAAAACACGCAGAAAGATTCGCCTCAGTTTCGCAATGTGTTTCAGTTGCGTTTTGCTGTTATTCATAAACTATTCGGTCTTATCTGGCGATTCCATGTGCTGCCGCTGTCGCTGCTGTTGCTGCTGCTGCTGCTGCTGCTGCTGCTGCTGCTGCTGCTGCTGCTGCCATTGCTGATGTCTTAACATTTTGCTCATTTCCATGTGGCGGCTGTCCTGTTCATCCAGCCACCAGCAGCAGCAGCCCACTTAGAGCTTGTTCACTTTGCCATAAGCTTTGCATAACTTAAGGCGCAACAGGAAATGAATGAACACGCCCCAACGACTCGCTGAACAAGCGCAAAAGCAAACCGAGCCAAACGAAACGGAACGAGACGAGACGAGACGAAACGAAACGAGGCGGCGGCAAGAAAAAATGTTGCCATGGCACAGTTTTTCCATGTACTTAGCACCCATGCCATCTAATGTCATAGAGAGTGAGAGATGAGACAGCCTGAGAGTGCGGGAGAGGGCGAGATCCGTAGAGTAAAAGAGCGCGGGGGGGAATGGGCCATATCCAAACACAAATTGCGCTTGTAATATCAATTTAAAGCACCGCGCCAAAATTACGCCTTAAATTATGCAAATGCTTTGTGCTGCGGCTGTGGAGAAGCAGCTAAGAAAGAAGAGCAAAGCGAACAGCGAAACGAAACGAAAAACAGCCAACAAACAACAGCAAAAGCACAGCCACATTTATTTCATTTGGCTTAGATATGTATCTGAAATTTGTGATTTGATTTTGATTATTAATTTAAATTTAATTCTTTGCAATTTGCAAACATGTTTTAATTAACTAAAAACTTTGACAGCACATCAAAATGATTTGAAAATAAATCAAAAATGAAAATAAATTAAATAAAACGTGATCAAATACCTGAACGAGAGTCAAGTTTGTGTGTGTGTGTGTGTGTGTGTATGTAAGCAAAAACCCGAGCATAACTTTCATTTTGTTGAAATAACTTTCTTAATATTTTGTTTTATATCAACATACACACACACACACACACTCACACACACACACACACGCATACATTTATAAATTTTGGCCTCTTGTCGTCTGTTCTCATATTTTTCTCTTTCTGTATCTTTTGCTGCGTTTCCTGTGCCACATTTCCTTTGAACTTTATCTTTGTTGTTTGCCGTTTGTTTGTTGCTGTTTTTTGTTGTTGCCATTTTCATATATAGCACAACAAACATTTTCAACTTTTGCCGCTCAAGTTTATGCAAAGCATTTCAGTTCCGAGGCGCCCCCAACCGAAACGCACCTAAAGTTCGCCCTGGCAAAAAAAAAGCAAAAAAAAAAATGAGAGCGCCAAAACTTTTCGTTACCTTTAAACAAATTGTCCCTTTTTTGTGGGCTCCGTTTGTTTAAGCTCATGTGTGTGTGTGTGTGTGTGTGTGTGTGTTGACAACAACAACAACAGCAACAACAGCAACATAAGCAACGCAACTAGAAAAGCACATTACAGAAACCCGGCTAAGCAGGATATGCACACTTTGATCCCATGTTGGTTTTACTCCCTCTACGTATGTGTGCTTGTCTCTGTGTGTATGTGTGTGTGTGTGTGTGTGTGCGGAATTGTGTTTGCCATATTTCCGTTGATATTTCTACTCAAAAAACTTGGCCAAGTTTTCTTTGCCTTTCTGTTATTTTATTTAGGCATTTTTAAGTTTTTCCTGCCTTCCGGCCAAAATCGACAAAATCTTCTAAGCAGTCGACGTTTATGCTTTGAGCCGTCTCGCTTGCTGCTCTACACCTGAGAAAGGGTATCTTCACTTTGTCAGGTATTTAAAATTCA